CGTGTTTACGCATCGCACTATTAGAATAATTTGTTCTTGATGGAATACATCAGGGGTACAGTCAAGAATAACAGATAAATACTTTACCTTCCGAATGATCTTTAGAATAAAAATTCTAATACTATGAGCCAATAGAGAGATTAGTTCATATTGAATTTTATGACCAAGATAATGATAATGAATATTTTCATTTTGAATACGTCTAATATGGTCTTGCATTAGCAAATCAAATATTGCAATCATTTCAATTAACCCAAAAAAAAATTCATTACTCTCATCATAAATTTTCTCACTAGATTCACGAAAAGCTAAATTATTTTTAGTAATACATTTTACAACACTTATTATTCTTATTAAAAATTTCCTCCAACGTTTTTTCTCTTTCGAAATTCCTTCTTGTAAATCTTTATCAAGTGTTTTATTAGTTTTTAATCTCACTCTTAATTCACTCCAAACATTCATGTTAGTCATATGCTCGATATTATTCTCATGTTGTTCGAGTTTCTCACTAAGTTGCTTCCAATCATTTAATCTGTCATTTGCTAAATAACTCTTGTTGTTTTGCTTTGTAAACAATTTACAACAAAAACAATAAACTTTGTCTATATGTATATAATAAACCAACCATTTTCTATCACTAGTCTCTCCATTACTCAATTTTCTAGAAAAATAAGCATATGAAAAATGCCTAGAATTATTGGTTAAGGGAAATTTCAAATTCAATTCTCTTATAGGTCCTTTTTCAACTAAAATATCTCTAGATTTATTATCAAGATTACCCCAATTTCTAGGATCATAAATGTCTAAAGGAGGGACTAAGTGTTGATCAATCCCAACATCCTCAACATTAGACTCATTTTGTGTATGGCTATGGTCATTTAAATTAGAAATGTTATCATCTATATGATATAGGATATTATCATGGCCATTTACATCAGTAGCACCCACACTGGTATAATTTGGAGAACTATCAATATTATTTAGATTCACATTAACATCATTTAAATTTTCATTAAAAGGTTCTCCTACTTTGTTTTTAAAGAATTTGCTAAGAGCTCCCTTATGCGATTCTATTAACTCATCTCTTTCTTTATTTTTATTACCAGACAAATTGTTTTTAGACGACATTATATGCAATGCAACTAATGTAAAAAAGAATAATAGCACCTGTAAAATAGGGAGATCATCGATTGAAGTATTTATATATCAAATCCGCAACACCATAATGAATGAACTCTAGAATTAAATAAATAATTTACATTAGAATTTTGAAAATCAAATTATTGATCGTTGTATAATAAAATAAATTTTAAAAACAAACCCAAGAACTTGATAATAATAAATATAATAAAAAACTAATAAAAACCCTAAAAGAAATAAATTCCAACAGAATTTTACGTTCATAGTTATGTTTGAACTTGGAATTGAATTGAAAAATCATAGTAGTAACTAGTAATTTTCAAATGAATTTTGAGATATATAATAGATAATTTCAAGTTGATTATATTTAATTTATTTCTCCTCATTGAGTTTTATAAAAAAAATAACCGTTAATAAAATGTTAGAAATTTGAAAAATTTAAAGTTGAAGATGTCTAATTGTTGAAAATGTTTAATTTGATTTTGTTTTTAAATTTGAAAAATATAAAATTTAAAAATAATGTTAAAGAAATTGAACAGTTAAAATGTTGGAAAATGAACAATTAATAATAAAAATTTAATGTTTGGTAAAAAATTCAACTTTTATTGGTAAAAAAATCAACAAATTTGTGAGGCCCCTAGCTAGTAGGCTGAAACATTGTATGCATTCAGAAAAAAAATGTATGGGTCCTGGGCATTCCCCTCCTGTCCCGGCCCAGGGCCGGCCTTGAGCAGGGATTAAAGTTAAGAGGTTTACTTCTAACAAGTGAAGGTCAGTGAAAGATCTCCTGCTTCCGACCGCTTGGGGAATTCAACCATGATTGCTATTACTACCGACTACGACTGTTTACATCGAACGAGATTTGGATTAAATCTGAGGAATCAAATCATGGTGAGGGAATTTTAGTTGTGTTTGAGACTTATGGTTTGTTTGATAGGTGAGAAATATTTTTCGAAAAATATATTTTAGTATTTGATAGGTGTAATTGGTTTTGCGAAAAATATTTTTCGGTGTTCGATAATTGTAATAAATTTTTTTGATGTAATTCATTTTCCTAGTTCTTTTGTATTTTCTATAAAATGTTTTACCGTCTCATTTCGATAAAATGTTTTTCAAACTTTTTCACTTTAAATATAAACACTCAAAAAATATTATTTTATTTATTTAGTATTAATTTAATATTTTTATATCATTTTAATAAAATTATTAATTATTAAAATATTTAATATACATATAATATTTTTTAATAATATTATATTTTTAATATTATATTAGTATCTACTCAGTTATATTATAATAATATATGCTATTATATTTTTAATTTAATAATATATAATAAATTATTAAAATAATTAATATTATCTATTATTTTTATAAATAGAATATTATTAAATTATTAATAATGAGTAATATTAATTTATACATTTACTATTACTATAATAATTTAGTATTATATTAATAAAATACTAATAATTAAAACAAAGGGTCTCCAAAAGATTAATTCAATCACTTATCGAATTGAATTATCATTAATTGAATTAAAAAAAATCTTTAACCGTTAATCAAACCGATTTTTTGGGAAAATATTAACTGAACCGAATTTTATTCATTTTATGTAACTCATTATCTATAAGTGAAAAATGATCTACACAATATCTTCAAAACATCGAAAAATAATTTTTGAAAGTTGTTTTCAGAAAATATAATTCATTTTACGTAGAACAGTTTTATATAATTAATTTTATGTAAAACAATTTTCATGCAATTCATTTTACATAAAAAAGTTTTGAGGCAATCCATTTTACCTAAATTATTTTTCAAAAAACTAATTACAGTCTATCAAACATGCCCTTAGATGAAATAATGGTGAAGTTCTCGAGTATGGCGGGTGTTGTGTCTGGCAATACTACGTGTTTTGAAACAATTTGTCCTTAGCTTAAATAGTCTGTTGTATCCAACGATTATACTTATAGTAATACAAGTTTCTAGGGCATTATTTTCCCCTTTACAGGCCTAAAAGAAGTTTTTAACGAGGGTCATTTTTCTTTTAAAAAAAAGTTAGTTCCTGAAAGTAGTAACCATAATGAAAACAAATGAAAATTTCAATGACTATATTACAAATTTAAAAAAGTTTAATGACTAAAATAAAAATATCCTAAAAGATTGATTGTTATTTTTACAATTTACCCTTTAAATTATGATGCTTTTATTAAAAAAACCCAAAAATTAATTTTTTTGGACGAACAAAATTAATTGAAAAAATATCTTAAATTATACACATAGGACTACTCATGTTATACAAAACACATTTTAAAGACCTCACTTTCTGCATGGGATATTTCAAATTTTCAAATAACTTCATTTAATTTTTTTGATAAAGGACACAATAAATCATAAAACTCGCTTTTCGTAGAACAGGAGGTAATCCTACATGTACAATTTAAGAGATATTTTTTCAATTAATGCTATTTGAATTGTTTTTTCAATAAAATAATAAATGAGGATTTTTCATTTAATAACCATTTAAATTATTGTGGTTATTTTTGTTTATGATATTTTTTTTAATTAATTTGGGTAACTATCAAACAATATTTATTCAAAAGTAATTTTTAATTATTTAATATTTAATTCTTTTGACTTTCATGATGTTCGAATCTGAAATCTCAATGAATAACTATTTTTTACCACCGAAATTACTCGTACTAGTCAACGTCATGTTGCTTGCCTATTATTATCTTTTTTTTTTGTTTAGTTGGACTTCTCTAGCTAAATAATGCAGATAGAAAAAAATTTAAAAATAAATTTCTTTGAAATTATTTTAGGATCTAGATTGTTTGTTACAATGCACGAGTTTCATAAAATATATTAAAAAATTAAAATTTTCTAAGGGAATGACGAGTTTTATAAAATATATTAAAAATTAAAATTCGTCAAAAAGAATGACGAATTTCATACCATTTTATTCTAATTCATATGATAAGTTATATTTTATATAATTAATCATCCAATTATAACAAATTTCATGTGTAATGTAATAAATGACTTAAATCTTTAAATAATTTCCAAGCCCTCCTATTTCTTAAAAAATCACCCACAATATTCCTTAAATTTAAACGTTACGTAAAACAAATAGGTTAATGTAATTTACCTTTTTTTTGTTAATATAATTTTCTTTATATATTTTATAAATGTCTTACAATTGTAAAACATTTTCTCAATTTTTTCAAAATAATGTTATTTTACATATTTAATATTAATATAACATTTTAATAATATTTAAAATATATCTATTAATATTTTTCATAATATAATATTATATATTTTTTTAAATATTGTAATAATATAAAATTTCATTAATAAATAATATTATTTATTATTTATAATAAATAATTATAAAAAATATTAACTAGTAAAAAATGATTTACAAAATATATTCAAACAATATAAAATAATTCTTAAAATAATTTTTTAAAATATATTTTCAATAAAACAGACGACTAATTAATTTAATCTTTGAAATTTATATTTTTCTAAAAAGTATAAGAAAATGAACGTACGTTTTTTTTAATATGATTGGCATGTTTTTCATGTTTTGCCAAACCCCCAAAGTTGGTGTAATAAGCGATAATGGCAACGCAGGGGCAGAGGTTTGACCGAGAGCCGTCTCCAGACAAATAAAACTTCAGTCTTGACTATTACGTCTTCTAGACCGAGTTAGACACACCACGGCTCGGAGAAAGCATTTGGTGCCGCCCCTCCCCTCCCCGCCATTGCCCATTGGACTTTCAAATCGTGAGAGAAACTTGCTTTTCCCTTCCCTTCCCCTTTAAAGTCGAATAAACCCAACATTAGTATATACCCTTTTATTTATTATTTCTTTCTTCATCTTTAATTAGTACTGCATAGCAATCTTCTCCCGAACCCCACAATTCTAATTCTTTCTCCGTTTTCTACTTTCTTTTCTATCAGATCATAATTTTTTTTTGTTTAGAAAAAGAAGAAGCTTGATCCGATGAGTTCCAATACTCCATCATCCAGCGCTGGAGGTGTTGGATCTGCTGATTCTTCTGCTCCTAGAAGAAATTCCAAGCGACCCAAATGTAAATTCCTTTCTTTTCTTCTTACGCGCTTTGTTGTTTGACTTTGTTTCTTGTTTCTAGCTTTGATGCAATTTAGTATCTAGTTTTAGTTTTTGATTTTCCCCTTTTATTTGTTCTTGTACTTGCAGTAATTTTGATGCATGATCGGGTTTTTTTGTTGTTGTTGTTGCTAGTTTCGTGTTTTGTTTTGTTCCAAAGTTAGAACTGTAATTAGGGCTTATTGGATGTACTGAATTATTAGTCAAATCTAACTGTTCATCTTTTGTACTTGTGATTTTAGATGTCAGAACTGAAGAATGCTTTTTGAATTCTTTTGTTTTCACGACTCTTGATTGCAATAATAAGTTAATAACCTTTTCTTTCTCTGTTTGATTTTCAACTCAGACTCCAAGTTTACCCAGCAGGAGCTTCCAGCTTGCAAGCCAATTCTCACGCCACGATGGGTGGGTTATTAGGGTTTTACTGATTTTGAGTCCATAAACAATGGCTATATTGCAATTTGATGGTGATATAGGAAAACTATTTTTGCTAATTATGGCTTTTCTTGTTATGCAGGTCATATCAGCCTTTATCCTTGTTAGCATTGTCTTCATTCCTATTGGAGTGGTTTCTCTGTTTGCTTCTCAAGATGTATGATTACAAGAAGAAAAAAAATAGAATCTGGCATTGTTGGGTTTTTTCTTCCCTTTTGGTATTGGTTAAGCTTTAACTCCTTTTTTTATCAGGTCGTCGAAATCATTGATCGATATGAAACTGAATGTGTGCCACAAGATTTCAGAAACAATAAGGTCTCATTCATACAGAGTGATGCAAACAAGACATGCACTAGAAGATTGACAGTAAGTTTCTTATATAGCATATATCAACAGAATATTGACTAATGGATGTGCGCGATTGACAAGCAAGCACACATTAAAGTTGACTGCTTTGCTTATGTCTTTATGTAAGCGGGCATAAATAAAGAAATTAGAGTCCAATATGATGCTTTCTTCCAAGTCCCAACCATGGTTTTCAGTGTCTCATATTAGGATATCACTGATCATAACTAGCTACAGCAGTTAAATGAAAAATAAATACATCTTCTTACCATTCTCTTGTTACTTTTCCTAGGTTACAAAGCGCATGAAGCAGCCTATCTATGTCTACTACCAACTCGACAACTTCTACCAGAATCATCGGAGGTATATCTTTTCCACCTTTTCTACAAGTTTTTCTCTCCATTAAATGCTCTATTGTGTATTGGTCAATCTTTAAAATGATGTTGAGGATATCCTTTTTTCAGTAGCAGACATCATGAAAATATATTTTTACTACAATGGAACAGAAGTTCTTTGTCAAAATGTATAACTATAAAATATTCAGTGAACAAACCACCTTGTTCAGATTTTCTCAATATGTCGTTTGGAACTTTGTGATCTTTGAAGGAATGGTGTGATTTAGGAATTATGTAGGAATGTTAGTAGTTAGATCCTTAAAAATTTTATGCATTGTTAGATTCTTTTATTGTTTTGAGATGTTCTTGGGGGCACTAAAGTATTTATATTTATAGATTAAACTGTTCTCATGCTATTTCTTTAGGCTTTTGGATTCGGTTGTGTGCTTGATTTCTCTTTTCCGTTGGTTTGATGACAATTCATTGTCTTCACCCCGTATTTTTGGTATTTATTTTGATCTTATTTTAACTCTTGCTCCTTTGTTTCCTTTTCCCTTTTTGGAAATATATTTATTTATGATTACTCTTTGGCATAAAGTTTGGTGATGGCTTTCATAATTCAGATACGTGAAGAGCCGAAGTGACTCACAGTTGAAAGACAATAGCAGTTGGAATGATGTTAGTTCTTGTAAGCCTGAAGACGATTCTAATGGCCAGCCGATTGTCCCCTGCGGTCTTATAGCTTGGAGTTTATTTAATGATACCTATAATTTCTCCCTCAACAACCAGCAATTGGCAGTGAACAAGACGGAGATCTCCTGGAAGAGTGATAGGGATAGTAAATTTGGGAATGATGTATTTCCTAGAAATTTTCAAAATGGAACTCTTATAGGTGGTAAAAGTCTTGATCCAACTGTCCCGGTAAGCATTCGTCTTCATATCTGTTATTACATTGTTGTACTGTTCTATTTTATGCCCTATATAGTTTCTTCAACAACTAGTGATTTAGAATGAAAATAAAAAGCATATATCTCAGAATAAACTCAAGTCTCAATTTTCATTAAAAAAAACAGCACATGTGATTGCAAAATTTTTTCGTCAAAGGAGCATTTGTTTTATCTTTGAAAGCCCTTCCTACCTGCATTGAACTACTGGTAAACTTATCCGGCTTGATCTGTATAACAGTTAAGTGAGCAAGAAGACCTCATTGTTTGGATGCGAACTGCTGCACTGCCAACTTTTAGAAAACTGTATGGGAAGATAGAACGGGATCTCCAACCAAATGAAGTCATACATGTGACATTGGAGAACAACTACAACACATATAGTTTCAATGGCAAGAAGAAACTTGTGCTTTCAACTACTAGCTGGCTTGGTGGGAAAAACGACTTCCTCGGCATTGCTTATCTCACGGTCGGTGGACTGTGCTTCTTTTTGGCTTTGTCTTTCACTGTAGTCTACCTGGTCAAGCCAAGGTAATTTCTTTGGTTATATTCATGCTACCCATACTCAAACAAGGCATCTAGACTTAGCTATCTCATATGGAAGGTTGCTGTTATTTGAACATGATTCTTCCTGGGTGAAAATGACATGTTAGTAATACAAATTAGGATAGGATGCTTAGGGGTATTTGAAAGGTAGCGTCCTCTCGTAGATTTTTTTGGTCATTATTTTCTCTACTAAAGTACTACTTCGGATTCATGTTTAATTTGATTAGGTGAGTATTGGACATGATACATGTCCAATTTTCTCTAAGAACTCCATGTATTTAGAGGCTAATTGGATTACCATATCTCCATATCCATGTCTTGAGTATCGAAATATTAATATTGTGTTGTTGTAACTGATGAGATATCGTGTTACCATTTCAGGCGACTCGGAGATCCTTCGTATTTGTCATGGAACAGAAATCCAGGAGGACAGTAAGCAGTGCAAGTAGAACCTGGAACCTCTAATCACCAATGGTTCTATTGGGTTGATCGGTTGATGTATTAAAGCGGCCTATATATATATATATAATATTTGTGTTTGCCTGATAGTGTATTTTGAGCCCCAAGGACTGCCAGATTTGTGTACAATTTCAGCAACACCCCAGTACAAAGATCTTTAATCTTGCAACTATTGTGTTACATGATTTTTGTGTGAAGTGAAGGTATGGTTTATCCACCAAATTATTGTATTTATGAACCCCACAACCAATATAGAATTATGAGAAAATAACCTCAGTGATCAAAAATGCCTTATAATATACGATTTTAATCAATTTTTTTTGGATTTGTCAAAATGACCAACTAAATCGCAATGCGATCGATAATTCGCAACGCGATCTCCGATATCGCAAATCAGTTTCCAGATTCGCAACGCGATTATGACTATTGCATTGCGATTTTTCAAATTCGCGTTGCGATTTTTCCAATTCGCAATGCGATTACGTAAATTGCAATGCGAATACGTAAAACGCAATGCGAATCTGACTATCGCAATGCGATTTACATAGTGCCATTCGTATTAACGCGTATTTTTTTTTCAAATTCCAAACACGAATATATTAATATATCGGAAACTGAACCGTCCACAGTATATCCCGTAATCGCAACTCATAACTTAAAACCCTAAATCACAACTCAGTCTCATCTCCATCTCTCACTCTTTAAGGCGACATCTGTCCCCATCTCCGACGAAATCAGTCCCCACGACGATAACAGTCTCCATCTCTGGCGAAATCATTCACGGTCAGAAATGGAAAATCAACCAAATCAACCACCGATGGTTAGTTTTTTTAATTATTTTTATTTTGAAATTTTTGCATTATTATTAGGTTTTTCATATTGAAAATGATGATAAGTTTACTGGTGTTTTCAATAATAGATTAACCATTTCACTTAGATTGCTTATTATATTCATTCGATTGCTGCCAATACTACTAAACTGTTTAGTCTTTAACCCTGTGAAGTTAGTATTTGTCTTTGTTTTGTCTTTTGGTTGAAGTAATGCAATCCATTCAAGTTTCTTTCAATTTTAGTATTTGAAACCGAGAATGACTATCGCAACGAGTGAATCACAATGCGAAAATGACTATCGCAATGCGAATTTGACTATCGCAACGAGAGAATCGCAATGCGATTTTCATTTCGCGTTGCGATTCTTGCGTTGCGATAGTCAAATTCGCGTTGCGATAGTCATTTTCGTGTTGCGATTTAAAGTTTCAGAAACTATTCTTCTTCTGCAAATTGAAACTTGAATGAATTGCATTACTTCAACCAAAAAACAAATACTAAATTCACAGTGTTGTAAATTTAAGTTTGAATAATAAACTACTACTCTTTATTGTTCATATCTTCACAGTATAGTTTTTGGTATATCTAAATTGGTATGTTTATTGTTTTTGCAGAATTTTTATTTGGCTCAATTGACCTTAAGAAATAAAGTAAGCCTGGCCAAAACAATTGCGTCGAAGCTTTCACCTGCACAAAGAAAAATATTTGAGGATACTTGCTTCGGGCCATGGCTGAAAGTATAACATCCGGGTGGAGATGCTATGTTGACCCATCTATTTCTTCAAACCATGACTAGCGATCTACCAGAGACTATACAACGTCGTGATGAAGAGATATGGTTTGATTTTCCTCCGACGTATACGTGTTTTGGGCGGGAGGAGTTTTGCTTAATCACCGGTCTACGCTTCGGACACGATGATGTAGATTGGTACACTAGACATATTACCCGCCTATCATGGTTTTCCCAGGTTTTTCCTGAGCAGTCAACGGAGAAGTCGAATTTACACGTGGAAGACTTGACGAGATTATTGAATAAGAAAGATGGTTTTACTCGGATGAATGACGTCGATGTTGTCCGAGTATGCCTTCTAATACTTTTGCAAGCCGGCTTTTTAGGCAGAGATGCCCGACAACCTATTCCTAATGATCTAATTAAATTGGTAGAGGACCTAAATGCATGGAACCTGTTTTCGTGGGGTTCGTATTTATGGAGAGCTACATGGAATAAGTTGTCGTCTGCCTTTAATGATCGGAAAAGTTTGCGTGGCGATGGTTCCAAATACACTTTGTCAGGCTTTATTTGGGCCTTTAAGATAATAATTTTTATATAATGTTTCCAAAATTATAATTAATTCTTTAACAATTAATAATATTTGTTATTATATTGTTTGTAGATTTGGATATTTGAGGCCTTTCCCGCCATGCAGACATATGCATTAAAAACTTCCAATGATATTCCTAGGGCTATTTCCTGGAAGAGGAAATGGTCATTGCAGCAATGGGAAGATTTACTACCGTAACTACAATAAATAATGTAAGTTAACACAAATATTACCATATGTTTATAAACAAGTTATTACTAGTACACGTTTAACTTTGTTTGAGCTTTTATATTGTTAGGAGGCCAACACTCCATTACAGAGGCTGACACCCACGGAAGCTGAGCTTGCCACTGATTGGTGGCAAGCTAGTAAGCTTTTTTTTATGGCACGGATGATGAGCAGCCACCACTTCGAGAGCCATCACCTCACCCAGAGCCATCACCTGATCGACCCGAATATACACCTCCACAACGAGAGTTATCACCTATTCTGTCACATCATCGAGCATCTTCTCCACCATCACCTCATGATAGGCGACCGACAAAGATGCCACGACGTTTATCTCCCTGTTCTCCACCTCCACCTCCACCTCCACGGGATGAGTTAGGGGAGTTACGTAATGAGGTCAATGCCTTGCGTGAGGAGGTCGATACTTTACGCGATGATAATGGTGTATGGCGTGTTGAGGTGTCTACTTTACGTGGTGAGGTAATAGCTCTACGTGAGATTGTAGCATCGTTGCAGAACGAGGGTCATACTCTACACAACGAGGTAAGTTTAATAATTTTCATATTTAACTTGATGATAAATTTACTCGTAATTTCACTTAGATTGCTTAGTAAATTCATTCGGTTGCTGCCAATACTGTTTAACTGTTTATTCTTTAACCCTGTGAAGTTAGTATTTGTTTTTGGTTGTCTTTTGGTTGAAGTAATGCAATCCATTCAAGTTTCAATTTGCAGAAGAAGAATAGTTTACTATCGCAATGCGAAAATGACTATCACGCGAAAATGACTATCGCAACGAGAGAATCACAATGCGAAAATGACTATCACAATGCGAAAATGACTATCGCAATGCGAAAATGACTATCGTAATGCGAAAATGACTATCGCAATGCGAATTTAACTATTGCAACGAAAGAATCGCATTGCGAAATGAAAATCACATTGCGATTCTCTCGTTGCGATAGTCAAATTCGCATTGCGATAGTCATTTTCGCGTTGCGATTTTGTTGTTGCGATTTTCATTTCGCATTGCGATTCTCTCATTGCGATAGTCAAATTCGCATTGCGATAGTCATTTTCGCATTGCGATAGTCATTTTCGCGTTGCGATTTTAAGTTTCAGATTCTATTCTTCTTCTGCAAATTGAAACTTGAATGAATTGCATTACTTCAACCAAAAGGCAAATACTAACTTCACAGTGTTGAAAATTTAAGTTTCAGGAATAAACTACTACTCTTTATGTTGTCATTGAACCTGCACTAAACCTATATGTTGTCCTTTTAAATGTTTATATAAGTGCTTACTTTTGGAATGTTATCTGATGCATTTTGTGAACAATGATATAATAATGACTTGGGTGAATACCCTGCAAGTTTGAAATATATTTGTCTTTGTTCTCACTGTTTAATATCATGTCTGTTTATTTACTGATTTATGTATTAATTTATTTTTAGCGGCCCGCTAAGGTGGATGCTCTACGTCGGGTTTTTCTTGCAAGACGGAGTTCACGCATCAGACGGCGTGCACGTGCCATTACGTCTCCGTTCACCCCAATAGTGCGAAGAATCCGTAAGAAAAAGTCCGACTCACCTGTCATCGTTCAAGAGGCCTCCCCTATCGTTCAAAAGGCCCCCATCATCCCTCAAGAGTCCCCTCCCACCGTTCAAGAAGCCACTGTCATCGTTGAAGAGGTCCCTCCCAACATTCTAGAGCCTGATTCACACGGCGTAATATATCGAATTATTGAGAAGCCCCCTCACGTGCCGGACATGATGGATGACTGTTGGCTTTCGTATAAGTTACCGGCCAGTACCATTCCGGCAGATGAAGTGGAGAGGAAATAACTACCGGAAACAATTATGGATAATACCCTTTGGGCCAAGACCGTAGTTGATTTTTATCTACATGAGCGGAACCAAGGGTGTTACGCTGACATATACAAACTCAACGATGATATGCATTTGTTGATTGAACGGTCTTGGTGGGGTGTATTATTAGGGGTTGAAGACAACGACTATTTCGATGGGGGGTAAGTCTTATATTTCTTATATTTCAGTTTGATTAATTTCTTTTAAAATTTATGTAATTCACTAATATATGTCTTTTTTTGTAAAACAGCATATTGATGCATGGGTGACACGTCTTCTAATTGTAAGGAAATTGAAGAAAAATATTAAAAAAACGCGATATACAATTATGCCGACGTATTTTCACGTAGTTCACTTGAAGAATCAACGACATGAATCATATGTGCTGACTAATGGACAAGCTAAGCTTTATCCTGCATGGTGGGAGGTCGATAAGGTTAGTATATTTGTTTAAATATTTTAAAGGTGTTCATAAATAAGTGCGCAATTTGAATTATTACATTTCGATGCAGGTGTTTATCCCTGTTTTGGACCGTACTCATTGACTTCTCGTCGAGCTTCAGCTCCCATCCCTAAAGACAATTAGTATATGACAACATGATAAATTACATATCATTGTCTGATTTGAGAGATATGATTAAGGGATGGAGCTCTCATTTGGCTAAATTCTTGGATGCAATTGATTATTGGACTAAGTCTGGAAACAAGAAGCCAAAGAAGTTCAATGTTACAGTTATCAGAGACGAGACCGCGCCACAACAAACGAAGGAAGCCAGAGGGGATTGTGGTCCTCTCGTATGCATGTGCTTGGAGCGTTTGACGACAGGAAGTACACATTTTCTACCTCCCACCGATAGAGATAGAGGTGTAGTAGGCTTGTGGTTTCGGCATTTTATAGCTAGAGCGATATATGCGAGACGCTGCCTACCTGCATCCGCGTTATGAAAGTGTCCATAAACAATTTGTAAGTCAA